TCTTCTTCTTCTTCTTCTTGATACAATGTTCCATTATGTGTCTTATTGGCTTAAAATCACAACCTTCCTGACTCAGTCCCCTGAATGATGGGATCATAGGCTTATGCCATAGGCTGAGCTTGCCTAAAGTGCTCTTACAGGTAGCAGAGGTTTAAATGCTTCCAGTCTGTTAAGGACCTTGTGCTGTTGGTGTGATAGTGTTCTGAATGAGAGATGCTCCATCACCCTATGGAGAGGCAGTGGAGAAGAGGGACTGGCTTAATGCCTGGCACCCTGTTTTAGTTACTTTTCTATTGCAATGACAAAACACCACAGCCAAAACAATCTATAAAAGAAAGTATTTAATTTGGGGCTCATGGCTTCAGAGGATTAAGGTATAAGATCATCATGGCAAAGAAGATGCCAATAGGCAGCTGGCATGGGGGGAGGGAGAGAACCGGGAGTGGTAAGGTTTCTTGAAATCTCAAAACCTACCCCTAATGATACACCTCCTTCAAGAAAACTACACACCCCCAATCCTTTCCAAACAGTTCCACCCACTGGGGACCAAGCACTCAAATATATGAGCCTATGGAGGCCTTTCTCATTCAAACTACCACACCTCTTAGATATTGATGGCTAAGGATGTAGTTCAGTTGGTAGAGTGTTTAGCTGACATCTGTGAAGCCCTGGATTCAATCCCTAACACCAAATAAAAAGAAGGGAAAATGAGATTGATGACTCAAAAGTTTTAACTTCTGTGACTAAGTGCACAGTGGATACCATTCAAGAAATTAGAGAATATCTGGGCGTTGGTGGCACACGCCTTTAATCCCAGCACTCAGGAGGCAGAGGCAGGCAGATCTCTGTGAGTTTGAGGCCAGCCTGGTCTGCAAGAGCTAGTTCCAGGACAGGCTCCAACAGAGAAACCCTGTCTCAAAAAAAAAAAAAAAAAACAGAAAAAAATAAATTAGAGAATACAGGTGCTGGAGAGATGGCTCAGTTTGTAAAGTGTTTCCACTCAAGCATGAGGACATCAGTCAGACCCCCACAGCCATGCAGTAGGAAGTACATGTAAAGGCAGCTTTGAGGAGGCAGAGACAGGTGAATCCCAGGAGCTCCATGGCCAATCAGTCCAGCTAATTGGCAATCTCCAGGTTCACTGAGTGGCCCTGTCTCAAAATATAAGAAAGAGGTGCCAGTGAGATAACTCCTTGAGCACAAGTGCTTAGCATACAAGCCTGCTGATAGGAGTGTGAGCCCTGGAGCCCTAGTAAAGGGCACACTCTACATACTCTGATGTCCACATGCGCACCACCTTTGTACCTGTGCACCTCACTACAGATATCACACACAAACAGTATATTTTAGGCTTATTTATTCATTTGAGTGTTTTGCCTGTATGTATGCATGTATGTGTACCACTCATATTCCTGGTACCCATGGAGGTCAGAAAGAGGGTTTCATCCTTTACCCCACCCCATCTCCTAGAGCTGGAGTCAAGAACTGTTGTGATCTGCCATGTGGATGCTGGGAACTGAACCCAGGTCCTCTGCAAGAGCAACAGGTGCTCTTAACCATTGAGCCATCTCTCCAGCCTATAATAATCTTTATTCTGTCCCTCCCCCCCACAGTCTCTATAAAGCCCTGGCCATTTTAGAACTCACTATATAGTGAGTTTAGAACTCATGCTATATAGTGACCTCTAACTCACAATGATCTTCCTGCCTCTGCCTCTCTACTGCTAGGATTAAAGGTGTCTGCTACCATGCCTAGCCAGTAATTCCAAAATTTAGGAATGACAGGTTTGAAACAAAAATAATGAGTTTCTTTGAAAATGTTGACTTTCAGGTGCACTTTTGATTGTAGTAGCAAGAGGGGACAGTTCATTATATAATTCTAACATGTAGGGCAGAAATACAGATTTAAGATGTGTCTGTCATCCTAAGGGACTATACATAAAACAAGAGCTGCCCTTTTCCCGAAGTCCATTCTTTTGAATTACAGGTGTTTCCCTTTTCTGGCAGTTTTCCTTAAGCTGTGACAATAAATGAGTGTCCCCCTTGTCCTTTTTTTGCAGGATGTGTGCCTGGACCAGTCAATAAAAAGAAAGCAAGCTGGTTTCTGATTTGTTCAGCCTGGTGTTTTCCAAATCTCCAGGCTGCACCTCTGTGCTGAGCAGATGAGAAGCGCTGACTCATATTTCCTGCAAGTCAGCACAGATATCCATCCTTCTAAATGACTTGAACCTCTGGCCACTCCCAAAGACAGCCTGAGTGCTGGGGTCATTTATGAGCATCTCTTTCAGGTTTTGTGTTTGTTATAAAAATTCAAAGAGAAACCTGCCCTTTCTACTTCAACCCGCCCTCAGCTCCAAGCACCACGATGTCCTCAGCTTTATAGAAGGCCTAAGAAAGACATGTCAGGATTGGTCCAAATGTTGTGTTTCCCCCACCTTTAGTCTTCACAATGAGTATTCAATTCCCTGGGCTTCCACAGAAACGAGCGAGTCTGCAACTTGTCACAGTCTGACTTTTATTAAAGTTCCTTGTCTGGGAGCATGCCTTTTGCCTCTTGGGTGGTGTTCCTATTTATGGATCTCCATGTTCCTTCTGTGTTTTGCATGGCATTTGGAATGTAAATGCTGGCTGAGGTGAGTATGTTAAATATTAGAAAAATATCATCTTACTAATCAGAGTCAGGGGGCACAGATGAGAACACAGTACTTACAAATAACTTTATCTTGAAGACAATTCCAAAAGTCAAAGCTGCATTTATGAGACATTGTTGGAAGAGGTGAAATTACTCATTTGAGGAGAATGTTGAAAAGTGGTAATTTTCAAAACTATGAAAAAGTGCTGAGTCAAAGATGATGCCACCCAAGGGCAGGGACACCAGTGGCCCAGACTGCTACAGAACCTCCCATTCTTGGTTATTTCTCTTTAGACTAGGTTTAGGGTTTATTTCTTTTTGGTTTTTAGTGTGTGTGTGTGTGTGTGTGTGTGTGTGTGTGTGTGTGTACAACTTTTGGGGGAGGGCTTGTTCTTTCCTTCCACCATGTCAGTCCTGAGGATCCAACTCAGATCAGGAAACTTTTTGGCAGATGCCTTTAGTGGCTGAGCCATCTCACCAGTCCTAGAATTGGTCATTGCTATTATAACATTTTTTTAACTGTCATTTTTTAATTGCTAGATACATTTTATTTCAAAAAGAATTACACCAGATCAGTCTATTTAAAGAAATAAATTGCTGTTAGGATCATGTGACTAATACATTTCAGCTTGTGGGTTAAATACTTGACAATGTCACTCTAACACTGTTTCACAATGAATACAATTTGGCAAATGTGGGTTCTGCTTTGGAAGTCATCCAAAGAGTTTGTGAAAGCTCATAAATGGCTGCTGGAAGGTTTTCACACCCATGAGGAAGCCCTGTGGCACAGATATCAAGGATTACTTTAAGGCTACAGGTTTTCATTTAAAAAGCCATGGAAATATCTGGCAGAGCAATTAAAGTACCAAATTTAACAGGTGGACAGGACTAGGCTGTAAAACAGCTTGTGCTCCCAGTGCTATAAATGGTTACTGCTTTCATCGTTTTCCTTCATGCATCATTTGAACTACAATGTTTTAAAATAACTTCTTAGAAACAGCCAGATAGAGTTCCAGGTGTAAAGGGATGACATCATTTCAGAAATGGCATGGGGTTGAAATTTACAAGCCACATTTTTCTTTCTGGTTCATGTCTATACTGTTAGAACCTCTTGTCTAAGACACATTTGGGCCATAAGTTTATTTAGCTGTGACTGTAGTGACATGTCACTGGACTGTTGCCAGGACTTGAGATCTATCTGACTGTTAAGAGCTCTGAAGTACTTGAAGACACTTTCTAAACACACAGTCAAGTGCTCCTTATTGGTTTTCTATCATTTTTGTTTGCTTAAAGCAGCAGAAAATTTTATTTATAATATCAAAAAAGTACTTGAGAGGTTGGAGAGAAGGCTCAGTGGTTGAGCACTTGTTACTTTTCCAGAGGACATGGGTTTGATTCCCAGTACCCACAGAGTGACTCACAAGCATCTGTAACTCCATCTGTAACCGGGGATACAATGCCCTCTTCTGATCTCTGCAGACATGAACATAGTGAACAAACACACATCTAGGCCTATATATATAACATACAGTAAAAAATGTTATTTTCAAAAGTATTTGAGATCAAGCACAAGAGTTGCCTGTATAATAGGTAAACACTCTTCAGTTACACCTGAACCTCTGCTACCTTTTGATACAATTCTCTTTCCAAGAGATAGAAGTGATGGGGCTAGAGAGACAGCTCAGTTGGTAAAGTTTTTACTGCTCAAGTATGGGAAACTGAGTTTGATCTGCAGTACCCCCATAAAAAATCCAGATGTATTTGCTAGATTTATGTCAACTTGACACAAATTATAGTCATCTAAGAGGAGGGAACATCTATTGAGAAAATGCTCCCATAAGATCTGGCTGTGTGCCAGCCTGTCCAGTATTTTCTTAATTAGTGACTGATGGGGGCAGACCATGCCCATTGTGGGTGATGCCACCCCTTGGATGGTGGTCCTGGATTCAATAAGAGAGCAAGTTGAACAAGCCACGTGGAGCAAGCCAGCAAGCAGCACCCCTCTGTGGCCCTTGCATCAGCTCTTGCCTCTGGGTTCCCACCCTGTTTGAGTTCCTGTCTTGACTTCCTTTGATGATGAAGAGTGATATGGAAGTGTATGCTGAGCAAAACCTTTCCTTCCCAACTTGCTTTTGTCCTGGTGTTTATTACAGCAATAGAAACCCCAACTAACACACCAGGTATAGTGCCATGTGCTTGTAATTCCAGTGCTGGAGAAGCATAAATGGGTGAATCCCTGCCAAATAAACCTCACTTATTTGGGAACTCCAGGCCAATTAGAACCCCTGCTATTTTATTTGCAACTTTTTTTTGTTGGTTTTCTTTTGCTTGTTTGTTTGTTTGGTTTTTTGAGACAGGGTTTCTTTGTGTAGCTTTGGCTGTTGTAGAACTAGCTCTGTAAACCAAGCTGGCCTCAAACTCACAGAGATACACCTGCCTCTGCCTCCTGAGTGCTGGGATTAAAGGTGTGCGTCACAGGCAACCAGTAACTTCTATTTTTAAAAAATAATAAACCTAAAAAATGTAACAAACACCTGAGGAATGATACTATAGTTGAACTCTGGCCTAGCCACATATTTGCAACTGCACATACATACGAATACCTCCCCAGTGCTGAGGTTACAAGAGCTATGCCAAAATTCTAGTTTCCCTTCTGTTGCTGTGATAAAATGCTAGCCAAAACCAACCTGGGGAGACTATTTCATCTTACACTTCCACATCACACAGTTCACCATTGAGAGAAGTCAGGATAGGGACTCAAGAAGGAACCTGGAAGCAGAAATTGAAGCAGAACCACAGTGGTTCACTCAGCTGCTTTCTTATTAAACCTGGGAACATCTACCCAGAAGTGGCACCGCCCAGAGTGGGCTGGACCCTCCCACATCACTACTAATCAAGAATATGCCATATAATTTTGCCTAGAGGTCAATCTGATGTAGGCATTTTCTCAACTGATTCCGTCTTCTCAGAAGACTTTAGCTTGTGTCAAGTTGGCAAAAACTAGCACAGTCACCATGTCCAGACTTTTTAACATGGGTTCTGGGGGCTGAATTCAGGTCTTCATTCTTTCGTGGTAAGCACCTTAACAACTAAACTATCTCTGCCCCAACTTTTAAAGAATCACATGCTACAAGCTATTCTTGCAACTGTATGTTCTTGACATTTTAACTAGAACTCTCTAATGTGGATACATATATCTATACCTCAACTGAAAGTGCTTTGTACTGCTGGTAATATAATATGTTAAGGTACCCTTTTAAAGGGGAATTGACTGGGTGTGTTTCACAACTATCAAACCAATTAATGGCTAAGTTTATGGAAAATGGAAAAGACAGGAGTTATCAACTAAACCTTTAAATAGTTTGTTTAACAAAAGTTTGTTTGCTTGAGGCAGAGAACATTGCTCAGTTGCTAAAGTGCTTGCCTAGCATGCCTCAATCCCTGTGTTCCATCACAGAATAAAATGGGTATGATGGCACAAGCATGTAATCCCAGCACTTGGAAGGTGGAGGCAGGAGAACTGCAATGGGTTTGACACCAGTTTGGGCTACATAGTGGCCTTACCTTAGAAGAAAATGTAAAAAAGTAAAAGCTTTTTAAGTAGTACTATTGAAGTCTATAGTATACACACATTTAGAGGTGCAACTTAATAACTTTGACATATGTATATACCTGTGACCATCAATGCAATCAAGAGAGTGACATAGCCATATCCCCCCAAAAACTTACTTGTACCCCTTTATGATACAGACTTTCTCTAGTGACCATTGATTGGCAGATAGCCATGTTCTCACACTGAGGATAAAAACATTGTGGTTGACACTGCCGCAGGGAGGAAGGATCCAACCAAGTTAAAAGATTCCAGTTTTTATTTGGTCTCCTCAGGCACTGCATGCATGTGGTGGACATAAAATAAAAACAAAGGAAAATACTTACTAGAAATATATTTGGGGTTATAGTATCAAACATTACACATTGGGCAGAAATGACTAGGAAGGACTAACATGGATTACTACCTGAAATCAATAAAAATAATAAAAAGATAGCAAATAACATTGATCTGTACAGACAACTATACCTTATAACAAAATAATATATAAAATGCCAGGCATAGTGATGAATGATTTAATCCCATTGCTAAGGAGGCAGAGGCAGTCGGATCTCTGAGTTCAAGGCCAGAGGTCTACAGAGTAGGTTCCAGAACAGCCAGAGCTACACAGAGAAACCATGGAGAGAGAGAGAGAGAGAGAGAGAGAGAGAGAGAGAGAGATAGAGAGAGAGAGAGAGAATGAAAGGTTGGATATCATTTAATAATTTTCAGTGAAATTAGTGTTTTCTCTCCACAATATTATGTGATGCCCACAAATTTTTAAACAATCTGAACCACATTTAGTCAACTCAGTGTTGAAGAGGCTCAAACTTAGATTTAAGAAAAAAACTTTCTGTTAGATGTTCTGGTTTATATGGTGTCTGGAATATAACTACAGACATCATCCGACACCACTCTCTGTTCCTCACTCCGTCGCTCACTATTTACTATTCAGTGGGTTCAGCCTGCGCTTAAAATCAAAGCCGGTCTTGTTTCTGTGCCTTTCTAGGCTTTGTACAACTGAGCCCTCAACTCCTTTCTCCCATCTAATGTTAAGGGTTCTCCAGGCAAAACACATTTCCCAGCAACACGGATTTCACTCAGTTCTAAAAGCCAAGCCCCTCCCTATTGCAGGTTCTGTGCGCAATCTTTTTGCTTTACCCAATTCTCCAGGGCCTTTCTCCCTTTACTGGTTTCATCAGATGGGCATACCCTTGACCACTCTGGTTTCAAAAACCATCCTGTTATTTTCTACCCAGAATTCTTCCTGTAACCTTCATGTTTCTGTTTCTTCTCCAAGTGCAAAGTATGTTTTTCGTTGTGCTTCCCCCACTAGACTGCAAGTCCCTGAAAGCAGACCTTTTCTGGTTCCCTGACTATTGTGTACCCTCTGCTGGGTTCTCCAACAATGTTGTCTGAATGAATGAGTACTAGAGAAGAAGTGGAGGTATAAAAAATAAAACCTCAATCGTGGTTAGTAAAAAGGTGAAGCCTGCTTTGCATAGATTAACTTGAACCTAGAGGGATTTCTTTTTTAAAGGTCTTATTTCTTCTTTCATTTGTCCTTGTAACAACAGCTAACATCATTCAATACTTTTAGGCATACACTGTAGCATTTCTGAGTAACCTTTATTATCCTCATTTTTCAAAGGCAACCTGCCAATAGCCATTAACGGTGGAGCCGTAGTCTGGTTTAAGTAGGCCATATCCAATTAATCAATGTAATGGACACCCCTTCAGTCAACAATAGGTGTTTTATCAAGGCGCTTTTCAGAGAACCCCTCTGAATTTCCCCCTTTCTCTGACCTTCTGTCTCGGGACTGAAAGCTACTGGTGGTTACTAATCGCTCAGGGGGTTTCCTGCAGAATCCGAGTGACTCCGGTGGGCGGTTCTCAGCTCAGACAGCTGCACCAAGCTCCAGCAAGCTAGGACTGCAGGCAGTGCAGGGGAGGAAGGAAGAAACTGGTCGTCGGCCAGAGCTGGATCCTTGTGCCTTGGGATGGTGAAAGAGGAAGATACAGTACGCCTTGTTCACACTCGCCAGGGGCTCGGGATCTCCCTTCCAGAAGGGGAACCACGACGCGTTTCCCCAACTACACCCCGCGTCACGAGCCAGCCTGGGCCCGCCCCGCCCCGCCCCTGGACCCGCCCACTTGCGGGGGTCCTCCTTAGCCCTCTCCCCTACCCCCCACTCCCTGAGCCGGCCCTCTCCTGCCCCTCGGGTCAGACTCGGCCTGTGATTGGCTTTCGAGGCCGCAGCCCCCGCCTCCTTGCCTTTTCCGTCACTCCCAAGATGGCGCCGGCCGCGGCGGGGGTGGCGGCTGGGGCCGGGGGAGGGGGGGGGGGGCGGGGGCGGCCCGGCGGGGGGGGGGGGGGCGCG